TGATTTATCCCTTTAGAGGGGTGGTGTTCATGATTTTGACACTTTTTATTTTTTTTCTTTTTTCATATTTTACTAGTTTTAAGTTTTAACTTTGGATTAAAAAAGAGTCAAAATTTCACTCCAAAATTCTTAAAAAGTAAAGCAAGTTAATTTTAATTGAAAAAACAATAATAATAAGACAGAGAAAAAAAAAAAAAAAAAAAACTTTTGAGGTCTAAACCTGGCCTCAAGGAAATGCTTTGTTCTTGTTGAATCTATTCTCAAAAGTGATTAATAATTTTTTTTTAAAATTTTAAAAAAAGTTTAATTTCATGTCATGTCTACACTAAAAGAGCAATTAGGGTCACCAATTCATTTATGCGAAAAGAGCGATGAGAAAGAGTTGCCTCATTCATCGCCTATAAATCCTTTGGATACCAAAGCCTAATATGACATAATTTCGCTGGAATCCTAACTAATTGTTGTTCTATCCAAAATAGTAACTTACTGTTGTTCTATCCAAAATAGTATGTAACAATTTTATTTATTACAAAACTCTCGTATCTTTTAAGTTGTTAGACGAAGATGAATTTTCATAAGTGAACTCTACCATCAGATCATGTCTACTCATATAAGGATAATTTTACATAATTATACTAATCACTCTTTTAATGATGTTAAAGCAATTGAAACTAATAAAAATAGTGCACAATCACAAAGATAAAAAAAGAAAAAAAATATATATATATATATATTTCAATGAAAAATGAGGCAACTGTGAAGTTTATTGTATTTTTTTTTTTAAATATCAGAAGATGTTATTGTAATTTGCCCTAATAATTATTTTGAATTTTATAAGATTACTTTGTAGAAGGACCGCATTTGCTAGACCATGAAACTACCCATGAGAGCGAGATTCCTTAAACTAACATCGCATATCACGGATCTCATACAGAGTTTATTTTGAAGTAAATTTAGGTTCATAGATTTTACTGTTGCTTTTGCAACAAACTGTAATAACAGACAACTTGATTAATCATACACCTAACAACCCAATATTAAACAAACTAGCATGTGATGAAATCTGTGGAAAATCATGATATAATTAGAAAACAAATGAAGAAGATCATATATAATATTAAATTGTGAGTTTTTTAATGTATAATTCTATGTTGGATCATGTGAAGAGATGGATTAGCTTTGGCAACATTAGTTTTTCCAAGTTAAAAATTTAATAGTGGCAAAATTAACAATTTTGAATTTTGTAGAGCCCATTAAGTGGCCACATGCATGCTTCATGTGTTCATACCTTAAATTATTATATTTTTTTTTCTCTTAAAATGTTAATTAATTAGTAGAATATATTTGCTTGGTGATTATTGTAACTATAAAATGAAGAGGTCATGCGGTGGGCAATGGGCTGTCATATTATAATAGTTTTATTTAGAAAATGTATTGTCAAAAAATAACATTGATAAATTTTAGGTTGAATTACACCAACGGTTCCTATAGTTTGGGATTTGTGTCAGTTTGGCTCTTGACTTTTCAATTGTAACATATTTAATCATGAATTTTGAATCTTGTTCCAAATAAGGACAATTGAAGATACTATTGGATTTTTCAAGAACAAATTCGTCAATTTAATAAAATATAAATTAATTTGACAAAAATAAATGTCAAAAAATTATTTTTATTTACTAAAGATAAAATTATATAAAATTGATAAATCTTTTAGACTTTTTTTTTTTTACCAAATTAATTTTTATTATTTATTTAGATGATGATCATGTAAAATTAATTTTTAAAAATTAATTATAGCGATCCCGGTCTTTTCCGTTTAGATTATTGTATCCGGACTTAGGTTCTGTGGATCCTATCATTATATATTGGTTGTTGTCGTCCTTTAGTCTCTTTGTATTTGAGTTATAGGATATGTTGGGCAGGTCTGTTACAGGTCGGTTGAGTTTAGATGCCAAAACTAGTTGCCCAGATTTTGACCTGTCCGCTCGAGCGGGAGTTTGACGCTCGAGCGGGGATTTCTTTTGTTGCTTGTCCGCTCGAGCGGGGGTTTTGGTACTCGAGCGGGAATTTCACCTCTCCAGTATTTCCTGTGCAGTATTGGACGCTCGAGCATGGGATGGGACGCTCGAGCGGAAATGTGTGAGTGCCGCTCGAGCGTGGAGTTGGACGCTCGAGCGGGGACCTGGTTCTGCAAAAGTGCTGGGAGTGCGTATTCGACGCTCGAGCGGGAGTTTGGACGCTCGAGCGGGGAGTCGACTACATCAGTCCGTGATTTCACTTTTTGGATCACTTTTTGACCTACTTATTTTCCCTAACTCTTAAAAACCGCCACTTGAGAGTTTCTCTCTCTACTCTCACCTTCTCTCTAAGATTTGATCTATTCCCTGTGGTCTTCTACCCTAGTTCCTTTGGAAGAAAGGTAGAGCTTCGCGAGAGCTTTCTTTTAATCTGAAAAAGAGAGGATTTGGAGCACTTTGGACTTTCGTCATCTTCTCCATTCGAGTTCTTCACTTCAAGGTAGGGATTTCCTACTCCATATTATAGGTTTTGTTCTAAGTTTTGGTATTTTGATATGATAACTGAAACTAATCACATTGGTTAAGTCATTGATTTAGACTGTTGAATTAATACAGAAAATACATGTATTGATTGTGTGTTGTACATGACAAGTGTTTAATACATTGTATATGTATTTTTGTTTGGGAGGAGATAGGGGATGGACTCCATTAGCATCACTATTATGTGTGCTTATTATATTGAAGTGTTTTTACATGTCATTGATACAGCACTAAAATGTGTATCAAACGGGAAGTATGAAGTGTTTTGATATGAGCCTGAGTCTCATTTGTTTGTTTGATATTGGAAGTAATGTGAATATAACATATATAGTTCACTGTTGCAAGTTTGGCCTGGTTCTGAGCCATATTGATAATAAAGAAAAGTGAAACGTGTCATTGACATTAGTGTCATGAAACTGTATAATGATGTAATTGATTATCTTGGTTAACCATCTATTGAATGCCATAGCTTTATTCATTGCTTATATTTGGTTTAGTATTTTTCTACTGGGCTGTGGCTCACCCTTTATGGGAACATCATTTTCAGGTTCAGGTGATAAGCTACCTCCAAGGACTTAGCTTGGAAGGAATTGGAGTTGAAGACTCTGTTTAGTTTAGTTGTTATTTATTTATTTGATATTACATGTAAACATTCAAGCCTAGGGCTTTACTTGTATTTGAGTTAGAACTCATATTTAGTGTCCAAGTGTTGGCTTGGAAAGATGTTAAGCCCGTAGGGCATTTAATTTGATGTTACATGTAATGTTTTTATTTAGTAATACTCTGATGAATGAATTGTTTTCTTTAACTATTGCATGTCAATGATATATATAATGGGTTTATTTTGAGGGCGTTACATTAATTATGTAATTTTTATTAATTTTTACCAATTTTATATAATTTTATCTTTGGTGGGTAGAAATAATTTTTAAAAATTTTAAAATATTTTTTTGACATTTATTTTTGTCAAATTAGTTTATATTTTATCAAATTAACTATTTTGTCCTTGAAATTAAGCAATGGTATGTTCAATTGTCCTTATTTGAAACAAGATTCGAAATTCAAGGTTAAATGTGTCACAATTGAAAAGTCAGGAATTATAGTAACACGAGTTCTAAACTATAGGGACTGTTAATGTAATTTGCCCTAAATTTTATTCCATATCTTAATTGTTGATCTCCATAATCATATTTCACCATAATCACAAAACCATTGATCACCATACAAAAGCACTTACATACTTAGGTGATATTTCAATAAAAATGGGGATTTTAAGTTTAACGTTAAGATTTTATAAGATAAAAGATCTGTAAGATTTTATAATAGATGGGATCTTTCAATATTTTTACAAAAATTTTCAACTCTTTATAGAAAATTTTTAATAATATTATTGAAGAATCTTAACTAATAAAAAAATATATTAAATCTCTTCTGTTACCCAAAATTGAAAAGAAATATTTCACTAATTTTTCCATAAAAATGTACAAGATGTGTACATTGGCATGACAAATTGAGTTATTAAATTGGGTCAAGTTCAGTTTAACGTTAAGATTTTATAAGATAAAAGATCTGTAAGATTTTATAATAGATGGGATCTTTCAATATTTTTACAAAAATTTTCAACTCTTTATAGAAAATTTTTAATAATATTATTGAAGAATCTTAACTAATAAAAAAATATATTAAATCTCTTTTGTTACCCAAAATTGAAAAGAAATATTTCACTAATTTTTCCACAAAAATGTACAAGATGTGTACATCGGCATGACAAATTGAGTTATTAAATTGGGTCAAGTTCAGTTCAAAATTAAATTAACCCTCTCAAATAGTGGGCCTTTAAACGTAGGCCCAACCCACATGGCACCCAAATATTTATATCCAAACCCAACTTAAAAACAAAATTTTATTGGATTAAGTAGTTTTTATCGCATTTTTATTTAGACTTCACTAATAAATCTTAAACCTTTTTCCTTCATCTTTGGATCTTGGGTCTGCATTTATTATTAGCCCTGACAGGAGAAACGTCATGAGTCAATGGAGAAGTTCAAGAATCAAATCTCCAAATTCTGTTCCCACACTTTCCCATTGTGGGAGGTTGGTAATGGAAAGAAAAGAATAAAAAAGAAAAAAAAAAAAAAGACTGACCAATGAAATGCCAGTGGGGTCACCCACTGTGAGTCTCTATTATTTTTGTTTTATTTTTGAGTATAATTAAATTAAAAAAATATAAAAAAATAAAATAAAATAAAAAATTAATTTAAAAAATTACTAAAAAAAAATATGAATTGAAGATTAAAAAAATATTTTTTATTTCAAACCAAATATTATATATTTTTTCTATTAAATAAAACAAAAGGGTAAAATGGGTGGACTTCTACCAAACGATTGGTCAATAAGCTGCCACGCACTCTCTCTTTTCCACCTCAGAAAAACCGAAAACCAAATCAAAAGTCCCAAAATTCAACTACCCAACCCCCGAACCAACAACAACGTTCGACTTTCACTCTCTCTCTCTCCTCCTTAACGGATAAGCCACCGCCATGGCCTCCACCACCACCTCCGCCACCGCAATCCTCTCACGCGCCACCACCTCCGCCACCCACCACCCTCCGCAACTCTTCTCCACCTTCTCCCCCAAACTCCGCTTCTCCAAATCCACCAAACCCACCACCAGCAAACTCCATGTCTCCTCCCCCACCAACAAATCCACCGCCACCACGACAAGCAAACCCACTTCCGAAATCATCTTCTTCGACGGCGGAGCCCACTACGGCGACCTCCTTGCCAACCTCATCCTCGGTTTCACTCTCCTCTGGCTTCCCCTAACCCTAGCCGCCGTTTTCAGAGCCTTCTTCCTTCGGTACCGATTCACTAACCTGAGGGTGACCGTGATTTCGGGACTGACGGGTCAAGATCGGAGTGATTTCTCCTACGAAGTGATCAGAGACGTTCAAGTTGTGCCTAGGTTTATTGGGGAGTGGGGTGATGTTATCATTACCTTGAAGGATGGTACTAAGGTGGACTTGAGAAGTGTCCCTAAATTTAGAGAAATTGCAAAGTACTGCCTCTCCATGGCTGATAAGCCTGCTGTCTTGAAGGAAAGTGGACCAAAAGGGTTTTGATGACTTGGTTTTCTTTTCCAAGAGGTATGTAAATTTTAATTTTATTTTTTATTTTAATTTTCCCATCAAAATACTAATTTTGTTGTAAAGTTGATTGGAAATTTTATTTATGATGTTGTTATTGAAATTAGTGGATTGTCTTTGTTGCTATGTCTTCCAAATGTTTGTAATGATATTACTCACTGGCAAATATGATAGAAAGTAGTATTGGATGCAAGCTGCTAAAAATGAGGCTGAAAGTGTGTTTCTTCTCAAGCTTGACCAGAATGGCTGCATTAACTTCGGCGCCATTTATTGAACAGACTCCGAAAGAATGATTATAACAAGCCAAGTGTAGGTAGAAAGATTACCGTTCAACTAGTTTTACTTGCCAATTACCTTGAACATAATTCCATATTATGAATGATGTAGCGGATTGGGGAACTTTTGCTTTGCAATATATGTATATATATAAATATATCCAAGCTAGATAAATAGCTTGTACTTGATTTGTATTGACGTGGCACATTTGCTGCACAATTTCAAATGTAGGATTTTTGTGGGAAGCTTTTAGATTTGATTTGGAAAGGAGTTCTCTCATTGTCTCTTCATCATTGTGGTGGCATTCTAACTAAAGTATTCTTAATGTCGTGCTGCTAATTAAATTTTGTTAACGATTCGGTTGTCAGACTTTCCAGTGTTCTAAAAGTTAAAACTTGTCAAACTGGTAAAGGTGATTGCACCTTGGACTTAGGAATCATAATTTAGGAATCATATCTTGGTACAGGATATTGTTTGGGGCATTTGGGCTTGTGAATCTATTAAGAATATCAAACTTCTATTGCTGACTTGTTTCATTCATTAGTGAAGTAGATTGTAGTTTGATGGTTTTTTCTCTGGAAAACCTGCTTAATTAATGCAAAGTTGCAGAAAACCTCTAAATACAGAGTATAGCATAAATTATTAGGGGCATGGTTCTACTTGCTTATATCTAACATGCTGTAGAAAGCATTGTGAATGGTAGATGCATTGGCCTTGAAGCATTTAAAGTTAAAAGTGGCAAAAGAAATCTCCAAATGAAGCTTTTGAAGAGCTTATATAAACTAGCAAGCAAGTAAGTTACTGAAGTCGTTGATGACAAGTAAATTCATCTTTGTGCTGTTAAGCTCCTTTGGGGGCCCGAGCTATGGTTCTCCTAAACTCGAGAAACTCATCTCTCCTGGCTCAGAAACTTAAGATTTAAGAAGCATGGATGGACACTTCTAAGAAGGTCGTGTCCATGTCGGACATCAATACCGGTTCGATTCGCCCTGCCCGGACATGTGTCAAACACTCGTCCAAGCATGTCCTATTATTTTTATAGTATCTTTAGAACCATACACATTTCGGACACTTTCTTAATATAAATAATACATATTTTGGACATTTTCTTAGTATTTTGTTCACTCTTAATATATAGAATATAGAATATTTATTATGATTTTAATATTATAAAATATATATGTATTTGTAGGCGGTGTTTGGTTTTTTTTTTTCACTAATAGACAAATTGGTTACAAAATCAAAAAAAAAAAATCCAAATAAAATATAATATCAAACCCCATAATCATTTCACTTTTTCTTTCACAAATATCACATCCAACCACAAAAAAACTCACCCATCTTCCCAAACACAAAAAAAAATTTCTCCAATAATATCCTATAACTAAAAAAACCTACAAAAAAATCCATTTCTCAAACACCCACGTAATATGAAAATTAAAATTTATTTTGTTTCTTTTAAAATTTATAAAAATATATCTATGTTTACTTTTTTGTTGTATCATTGTAGTGTTGTGTCCAGATCTCATTCACTGATTCGCCCTTTTTAATGACTCAGTTGCATCAGTGGACTAAGGCCAAGTTTGGCATGCCTTAAATAATACAAAAAGTCAAAAAGTCACTATTCAATTTAAGTCACATCATCTTATTTAAGTCACATCACCTCTCTAACACATCATTTCAAATCCAACCCAAATCCAACGCTTATTTTATAAAAAGTCAAAAAGTGCACTTATTTAGATCATCCCAAACAACCCCTTAGTCAAAACCCCTCCATCAGACCCTTGTTTGGTGAAAAGGACAACCCAATTTATTTTTCTTCATAACCCCCTTAAGGAGAAAATACATAATTGAGTAAGGATAAGATAAAATATATATATATATATATATTTCTTTCTTTGACAATATTGTCACAGTAATATGTTACTGTCAAATAAAGTAACATGTTACTATCAAATAGAGTAATTGTTAAACAGAGTAACATGTTATAATGAGACAAAATAACATATTACTGTTAAACAAAATGTTACTGTTACTGTTTATATTAATTTCAATGGTAATAATTTTTTTTAAAAGAATTTCATAGTCAACATAGATTTTATTTGATAGATCTTGATGAGAGAATTCTAAAAATATTAATTTTATTAAAAATCGGCATCTACATCAAAAGTTATATTATTTTAAAGTTTAATATTTTGATAATAGTGATATTTGTTGGGCTTTTTAAGGACATTTTTTTGTGCTTGTCCTTAATACATTAAAATTTTATTATTATGGGGTTTTGATCAAATCCCCCATAATTGTATCCATGTCTCGTTTGCTTCTCAGCCTAGGATACTTCTAAGTTGATTATCAAATAAATCAAGTATACAATTTTCCCTCTTAAAGATTTGATCCTTATAATCTTAAAATCGTGTCTCCTCTGCTTTTAGATCTTACTTTCTGAATTACACCCAATTTAGTCCTCATTAATGAGGGTTTGGGAGTTGGGCTTCCCTAAGATAACCAAATTCAAATCCACGATCTCAAGGTTATTGGGCCGAATTTTAACCATTGAACCAGTGACCCTTATTAGTTTTTTATTTTATCATCCATAAGGAATTATTGGTTCCTGTTAATTGAAGGTGCCACGAGGGGTAAGACTAAAAATAGACCTTACTCTTGAAATTATTTGCACCAAACTTCTACTTTTCATGGTCCAACCATTGACAAATTGCCCATGCCCTACAATAGAGTGTGAATAATGCTGCCCCATGGAAGATACGAACCATATATACAATGTCGTGAGCATGTAACAACGTTTTTAGGGTATACATAGAGCTATCTAATTCTTGGCTTCTTCTTGTAATATGTGGACCTGTGGCTTGATTAAGAATTGATCTCGCCATGCTTGTATAAACGTTAAATGAGGTTGGCTAAGATTAAGATGTGTTACTTTGACTCTTCTATTTCCCTAAAGTATCTGTGTCCACTGGATATGACAAAGGGTAAGGGTATGTGATATATATCCAACACCTATACTTAGTTTAGATACTTGGATTATCTAATTTTTTTACAATGTTTGAAGAATAAGAAACTTACATTTGTTAGTAAAGAAACATTTCGTGTCTCACACGTGGATGAGAGATAGAAATTTTATATTTTTTCTTAAATCTTATTTAATTTCAATTACATTTTTACATAATTTACAACATTTTATCTAAGAATAATATGCAATATATATGAGTGTCCATGGCATGTCCAGAATCCGTATCCAACTTTTGAATACATATCCTAAGTTTTAGGTTTGTAAAGGTCTGACCATTGGGCACATACTTGTACTCGATACTTGTATCGAGTATTGTATCCGAATTCATGTAACAAAGAGGTTAAAGCATGTTTAATGTCATTATAAGATATCAATGTTGCACGTTGGGACAAATACCATCCTTCTGTTCTGTTAACTCATTGTTGACCTCCCTTGGAATCTGAAGTGACAAGATATAGACCCTGCACCAAAAGTTTGAAATGTCTATACATAGTATATGGGCCTGGGCTTAATTAAGAACTGAGATTGACATCATAACCTGTGACATGCTTGTATGAACTTTTAAATCAGGTTGTTGATGTTAACTATTTTTGGACCATAGTGCAGCCCAACCTGATTACAATATAGAGGCAAGCCCTGGTTGAACCATAGGCTGAACTGACACAGGATGAGCCAGGCTTGGATACCACCCAACCATCCTGGTCCATGGGCAACCAAAAACTTTGAGTTTCCATGGTTGATTTCAGGATTGGATTAGGCGAGATAACTTATCATCAAGAAGGGTATTTTTGTCTTTTTGCAATGAAGTATTTGTTGGATAATTGGATATACATTGTTGTCGGCTCATTTCCTAACAATTTAAGCTTTTGGGAAAATTGGTAACTTAACATGGTATCAAAGCTTTTAGTTGTTGGATGCGCAAAAACAACCTATTCCCCTTTCCGACGACTTGGTGACCTTTAACACGTGACACCTGGTTGCATGTAATCTTGGCTTTAAGAGAGTCCGAGAAAAATCAGAAGAAAAGAAAGCCTATGGATATCTCTCCAGAGAAGAAATCGGGAAGGCAGGACGCCAAAGCACCATACTGTATTGAGATGCAAGACTGGAAGCACGTTTTTCTTAGGTTGAGAGAGATCTTGAGTTCAAGTCTCTCTATTGGCATTTTGGTATTCGGTCATGCTTGGTTGTTTGCTTCTCCTTGTTTTTGGTTCTCTGTTTCTCTCTCCACGTGCAAGACGGGGACATTATTAGGCTCATTTCCTAATAGCTTACGCGTTTGAAAATTGGTGACTTAACAGTCTTATATCAGGAGAAGCTGTTGCATCCATAACAAAATAATCTTGGAAATGCAGGATAAAAATGCCACTTCGGATAATTTGAACCAAACACAGGATAATTTTATCCCGGGTTAAAATATTCCTTTTCCGGCCATGTATACACGAATCAAACATGTCCCAAGTGTATATTTTGTGGACACTTTGGCTACAAATTGAAGTTATGAATGAAGGTGTAAATTGAGCTGGTGGTGGAGAAAAGTACACTGGCTTGAGCTCCCAATCTGTGCCTGTCACTTGAGTGTGAGTGGGGTCCATGGGGGACTTGGAGGGGAATCTAATATCATTAGACTGACATGAACTTCAGGACATGAAGCTTTAAAAAGTTCAATCAAAGCCACCTAGTTACTTCAATCATATATGCTATGTTTTACTGACTGTAAAATTAACTAATCATTGAAGACAGGGCATTTCCTAGTGAGTCCTGACCTGGTCTATACCATTTTCTCTCTTGTACTATTTCTATATAGACTTGCATACTTGTTTGGTGTGTGTTTGTGTCTAAGTGTCTGATTAATCTAATTCCCATGTTCAAGGACATGGAGACACAACAAAATATTCATATTTTTTAGTTCTTTTATTTCCTATGGTAAAATGATATTCACAAGGTATAGAGTATTTTCAGGCATGATGTGGATTTTATGGACAGTTTTATGATTAACTCAATTTATTAGATATGTTTGCTAGGTGAAAATCCAAAACTACATATTCCAAATCAAATATTAATGTAGTGTCATCAGGATCCTTCTCCTCATTCTGAATTTCCTTTTCAACTAGATAGAAAAAACTTATATATATATATATAGTTACTGTTATGACGGAACAAATGAAAACAAGGAAGTAAAACAGAACAATCACACAATAACATAAAGATATATGTAGTTTGGCTGTAAG